TAATAAATGCATTATACTCGATGTCAGGAGAAATTTACAGAGACAGATTAAAAGAAGAGGATTAGAAATACACTCTTTTTAACACAACTTTAATTATTAGTTAAAATTTATTAAAAAAATATAAATATATAAGAAAATTATTAAATTAAAAAGAAAAAAAACTCACATAATTTTTATAATTTTTAACAATTTTATTTAATAACTAAAAATATATTGAAAATAATATGTTAACAATTTATTATTAATTATCTGGTTACTTATATTTATGATAAAATTACTAATAAAAATGGAATTCTCTTTAAATAAGATAATACATTAGTCAGGTATATAAAATTTAAGGTTGAAATATATTGAAAAAATATAAAACAAAGTCACTTCCCATTTATTTAAGGTATAATGGAAAAGGAGAAATGAATTTTGATTTACAAACAAAAGTAATGAATCGTCATCCGTTTTTCATTTTTCTTATAACTAAAGATATAGGTGAACTTTCTTGAAAAAAGAAAAGATAGATGAACTTTATTTATATATAGTAAGAAATCAACCAAAGACGCTTTATAACCTTTATTATAAAAAAAAATAGAAAAATTTACGTTTTATCACTTTCACTAAATCCTGCATTTAACGAACTTAATTACAATAGAACACAAACAAAAATGATTTTATTCTAGTTTGCAAAATCATGTTTTGTAGTCTTTGGTCTTGCTTTTCACTTTTTAGGCATTCAAACCCAAATCCAGATACAATAATACATGATATCCATCTCACAAATCGAAACACTCGTAAGATTTATTTATTTATTATCGAGGTTTATGCATGCAGGTCGACTGAAACTCTGCATTTGCAACGCTAATTAAGGTAAAAGACTAAGACTATATCTATACGTAACTATTTTTTTGAGTAGTACTAGTCAAACAAAAATGATTCCACGTGAAGAACAGAAGGCATAGAATACCAAGTCATCTCGGTTTTGAACAAAAGCCAAGAGATGGATCAGGACCCTCTAAAGATACTGTTACTTAAGACCCACCAAAAGAAAAGGGTATTGGCATCTACAAAAGACAAAGATTTAGGATGGAGACAAAGTTTCCACGCACATTTGAGCCTTTCGCAGACTTTAAGAAAAGGGAGATAAAATTTGGTTCTTTTGCCTAAGGTCACTATCCAAAGCTCATTATACCTTGCTCTCTTTATTTTTATTTTTATTTTTTTCTATCCTCCTTTTTGTCTTTGTGGGTGACTTCATGCATGAAAGTAAGGGAAAGTCTTGGATCCAAAATCCTACAAACTATTTATGGATGAATCATGTATAGATTTCGGAGTAAACGCACATATTCTTCTCCTTTGTCTTCTTTGGATATGCTTTTCATGGACTTATCATTTGAAAGTGATGAGATTGAGGGATCCAAGGTACTTTCATGTGCCGTTGTTTCAGACTTAGTTAATAGTGTCAGTGATGACGATTATGGAGGTACCACCATTATCTAGCTATTTGTAACCACCACCATGCATATATGCTGCATGCTTTTGGTGGCGCTGTGTGCAAGTGGTCTCTCTCTAGATGTAGAAATTTATAAAAGGGTTTGGTCAAAAGAGACTACATGTGCTACCTGGTGGAGATAGCACACGCGAATTCTTAAATCAAGAATGTGTGTCTATGAGGAATAGATCTCCACACACGAATAATTCTGCTTTTTTTGTTTGTTGGGTCATTTTCCTAAAGCAAGCGCATATGTGTGTGTGGTTTGTTTTTGAGAATGAGAAAGAGCTTACTTCCCTCTAAACATATTTTCGAACATCTTGTGTGATTTCCCTCTTTAACGTGATTAAATTATGATTTTAAACATGTTTCTCATGAATTGTCTAAGTTACCTTAAAAATAAATAACTTCATTGAATCAATTAATGAAATTTTAGCTATAAAAAAATATAGAATTTAACTTAGTTTTTTAATTTTATTAATTCGGTTAAAATATTATCATTCATTTCATGCGGTAATTTAGACAGTATCTTTAAGGTAAAGTTTAAACTTACAAAAGCTTCTCAAAGTTGTATCCGCATTAATTTCCCCCCTTCCAGCAGAGAGGACTACCCATGTCATAATAACCTTTTAGATTTTGAACAATCACTAAAGTTTTCTGGTCTTGCATTGGTCAAGAACTTAAGCAATTACTAAGAAACTTAACCTAAAATATATCTGCCCAAATTTTATCAAGTTTACCTCTTAAACTACAAGTTGCATGTATCTTAAAATAATTTTTAGGAAAAAATATTAACAATAATTTACACCCAAAAAAACCAATGATAATCATTCTATGAATAAACTTAAATTCTAAGTGATTAAGGGAGAACACACTTGAATTTACAATGAAAACATGACTTAAAATTGTGCAAAATATAAACACCATCATCGTTGTAGTTGAACATTCATAAGAATCATAACCAGAATTTTCTCAACTTTTCATATTGATTGGGAACAAAACAAGTAAGCATTGAGTATCTACAAATAGAAACTTAATTATATTCCTTCATATATTCAATTTAATATTATTACTTTTTAATTATAAGATCGTTGAAACTTTATTTTTTTATTTTTTATTTTGAAGTATGTATCCTTGCCCGGGCGAAAGTTGTAGTTGTAGCGTTGGAGAGAAATATATGGTCAGTCTCGATACAAGGCCTGTATGTGAAACATAGTTAGGCAATCAAATAGAGAAACCCACTAGACTTTGAAAGGAAAATTAGAAAGCCCACAATTGGCAGTCACTTTTGGGCTTTCTGACCCATCTTTAAAGTATACTTTTCTATTTACATTGGGTTTGTATGATATGTTTCAGATTTCAGTCTTACACTGGTTTGGATCCATATCTTTCTATAGCCTCTATTCCTAGGCCTTGTGGCGGGGCCTTTTGGGCCTTTTCAATATATCTTTCGGTTAACCAAAAACATAAGTCTTACACTGCGTTGTTGTAGTGAATTATTTAATTAAGTGGATATCGTTTGAAATATATCTATTGGTAAAATCTTTTCATAGTAGTGTAAATTTAAAAAAATTTCCATTGTAGTTTTGATTCTCTATATTTATTCTCATGTACAAATTCATTGGTTGGAGCAATAATTTCCATTAAGGGAAGTGTAGTGGACAATGAATTCTCCAACACCTATGTCATTGCAAAAAATTGATCAACACCTATCCATCTCGAATTGAGACTGAATTTGAATACCCAGACGAGGAACAAGGAAATTCACATCGAATTGGATTGGTGGCTAGCAATAAAAACGAGTAAAAAATGGTATCTTGGATCGTTCGATGTTAGGTGGAGAAGGAGAAGAGAGAATGCTTGGAAAAAAAGGAGATTAATTTTAGTGAAAAAAATTAAACCTTACACAACGTACAATTACAATATCGTTTGAAGTCTGCGTGTATTTCTGTGTCATTTAACGTAATAAATCAGTATTTTATTACTTATTTTGAATATTTCTTAATATTAAGAACTAAATTGACTGGTGATTGCTAATTCTGGAGATTAATATTTAAAAATTAAATTTTAAAAGATATATTTAACTAATAGTGTATATTTTAGGATTAAAGTGAATGTTTCCTTAATTATTTATCCTTCTTTTACCCTGCAGTGTGTGTGTGTGAGAGAGAGAGATGACAAATACTTTGGAGCATGATAGTAGCCGTAGGAGATAGAGTTGTAGAGGCAACAAGAGGTAGTAAGGATAGTTAAAAATATCGTTGTTGGGAGAATGGAAACAACGACAGTGATGTAAAATTAATAAGATTAATTATTGACTTCATATATTAGCATTACATGTTATTTAACAACAAAATTTAATATTTTTAGTCATCAATTAACGTGAGGGACCTAACTATTTAAACAACTTACTACATAAGAGATTAACAAGACAATTTAAATTAAAAAATAATTAATATACACAACTATATTAAGTTGTAAATTTACTCTTTAGATATTATAAAAGTTCAGAATTGCTCATTTGAATTTGAACAAATATAAAAGAAAACAATATTATTTAAATAAATAAAAGAATAAGTAAAACTATATATATATATATCGTAAGTAAACGTTATAGATAGAAATCTCATAATATTTTCCCCCTTTCATGTGTCCAAAATCTCAGCTATAAAGAAGAGAGGTTTTGTGGGAAAATCCCATCTTAAGAAAAGATTTTTCTTCCTTCATTTTCCTACATCTAAATCGGTGAATTTGGACTTTTTTTTCTCTCTCTCTCTCTCTTATCAGAATAAAGTGCATTTTATTCCAAATATAATAGAATATATTTAAGTATATAATTTTAATATGAATAATATGTGATAATATTAAATATAATTGTTTTGTTAAAATATAAATCAAATTTTCATTAATAAACAATATCAAATAATGAATATTTTAACGTGTATTAAGAATTATATGTTAATAAATAAATGAATAAAAAAGGTTTTATTAAAAACTAATATAATAAATAAAAATTAGTTTAAGGGTTCAAGTAGATATTTTATGGTACAGAAAGTAGCACATTTGATTGAAGAGACTAGAGAGAAGTTACTTAGTAATGATTATGAACCCCACTAATTGTATAACCTAATTGTCTTTATTTCTTGGATAAATATGTAACAAGCGAGAATCGTTGTTGGGTCCATAGATTGAAACAGAGAATGCTCATTGTCGATGGTCCCACAGCCACATAACTGAGGAAAAGCAACTGCGGGATGGTGTTGGGGGTCATCATCATCCATCACCAACTTCACTTTTCCCCTCACAAAAAACGAAACAGTTTCATATCTCTTTCATAGTTAGTTTTCCTAATAACCCAAAAAATTTCAAAAGGCCACACAGCAATAATATCACCCACATTTCCAAGAAAAAAACATCGTTTTCTATCCACCTATCTATCTCCCCACCTTTAAACCCCTAACCCTCAGAAAGCAAAACAACCATTTCTCTTTCCCTCTTTTTTATTTTTCACTTTTTTATTTTTCCCTAAAACCTCCATTTCCCATTTCGCCCTTTCGTTTTGGTTTTTTCCGTTTCGCGAGGATACGACAAACCACCGAACACACAAAAGAGAAAACCCACGCAACGGTGTTGTCACCATGATGGGTCTCAACAAGCTCGGAACAGCGATAACGGTGATAACCGCCGTTACTCTTGCGGCACTCGCCGTCGAGATCGTGTACGTGCTTTGGCAACGCCGTCAGAGATTCCGTCCACGCGTGCGCGTGGAACCACAAGAAGCTTCTCTTCCGTGTTCTTCGTCTTCTCCTGGCGATAGGGAGCGTGAGCGTGAGCTCGAGCTAGAGCTCGAGCAACATGTGATGAAGTGGCAGTGCCTTAACGGTCCTTCGAGGTTGCTCTTCACGATCAAGGAGGAAGAGAGAGAAGAGTTAGAATCCGAGAACGATACCTCCGCGGAATGCAGTGCCGTGGCGGTGACGAAGTTGAGCGAGCGCGTGGTGGTGGACGAGGTGGCCGTGGTGGTGGAAGGGTTGTTGAATGAAACGACGCCGTTTTCGACGCCGTGTGCTTCTCCCCCGTATTACACACCGTACGCTTCGCCGAGTCGCGAGGCGTGTTACAAAGATAAAAACGGCGATAATGGATGAGTCGTCGTGAGTGATAACAGAGTTTCACTGCCACACTCGCTTAGTCATGATTGAACGACCCAGTGTTGCGGAACGAAAGGGTTTCCACATTCTGGATTGGTGAAGAAGTGTAATAATTTAAGTTTTTTAATTTTTTTTTCTCCCACTAATTTAGAATGTTAAGATTGTAATTAGACTTAGAATAGGGAGTGGATCCAATGCGTGCGGTTCTGGACTCTTGAAGTGGAAGGGAAGAGTCTGTGCAAAATAGGAAAAGTGCTTAATTGTAAACTGTGTTTGAATTGCGGGGTCAGGGTTATTCATTGTTGTTCCTTTCTTCTCTGCAAAAATTCGAACAAGAGAACCGGGGACGTTAAAAGTTTAATTTAAATCATTAAAGGCGAGTTCAGCCGTTTTATCTTTTATCGAATATTTTTAATTTTATAAAAATTTGCTTTGATATTTAACGTTATAAAATATATTTATTTTATAATTGTTATATAGAACGATAATAAAAAACTGAAAATGACTAAAATAAATTATTTTAAAATTTAAATTAACGTATTTTTTATAAAAATTAGAAATTAAAATAACTTTATTTATAGTTTGAGAGATTAAAATAAATATTTTTTATTTTTATATTAAGTTCTTTCAAATCCGTGTTTCTGATTTCTGAGTTAAAAGGTGACGCCACTGAACGGTCACGTCCTTCTTGTTTTCTCTTTATTCATTTCTCTTTATTAAAAGTGTCGTACGCTTTTCCTTTTTTCATCTTTTGGTTTATGTTTATGTTTTTTTCCTTAACTATTTTTGTCCATATTTTATTGTCAATAACTGTTTTTTCTTTTTGGTTTTTGTCGTGACTGTTTTTGCTTTAAGAATCGTTTCTAATATTATCTAATTCCTGTGAGTAAGTGGGCTTGGGCCTCATCGTTTCTAATCTCTGGCCTCTTTATTTATCTTCTTTTGCACGTTTTTCACACGAGTTTTACATAAGATGTAGGGCTTTTCCCCTGTTTAGGGTTAATTTAAAAAAAAAAAAAACTTAAACAGGTTATTTTTTAAACATAGCATGAGTATCATCCCCTAATGATTTTTTATTTTTTTAATCGAGTATTGTCTGACAAGGACCGATATTTATTTTAAAAATTTAAATCAACAACTAGAAATGAAAATTGTTACATGAAGTAATCTTAAATAGTATCAATTTAGTGTCTATCTTAATTAGAATTACTCTTGAGTAATAGGTCTCTTTTTCCTCCTTTTTTGCTATTTATTTTTTTTCTTACTCTTTCATTCTCGTCGAAAAAAATCAGAAAAATAAGAGGTGAAGAAGCTCCATGTTAAAAATAAAATTTTTGTTATCAATGAATGTTGTTAATAATAGAGTGAGTGAGTTAGAGTAGGAATTTTTTAGTTTTTTTCTTTTTCATTAACCATAAAAATGAAGGGAAAGAAAAAGGAAATGGAAGAGAAGCCAGTGTATCTGCAATGTTGTTATTCACTTCAGAAATTTGGTCTAGAGTGATGAAAAGCATCTTGTGTTGACCTTGGAGGTCAACGCTCAACACTCTACTACTATCATGGGGTTGGAAGAATGATAGGAATAAGTTACCTTGATTTCAAGGATCAAAGAGCCTCCTAGAAATAACAGAGAAGGAAAGTGAAAATACTTCTTTTTGTTCATTCATTTCATTCCTTTGGTATTTAACAATCCTCACGTCACCCATGATTGGCTACCTGTGATTTGTGTAAACAAAAAATATTACATACCGAAGGAAATCTATAACAGAAAATACAACTCAGCAATATAAGGAATACTGAAAAATAGGAAATGCTAAATTACTTAGAGATATTTCTACTTGGTGACATAGTCACGGAGGTAACTTGGCATCTTGTATCCTCTTTTGGGCCTCTCTTTCATGTTTCCTTCGTTGGTGTTACTTGCCCCATCTAACTTATCAGCATTTGAACCTAAACTTATAGGGCTGTTGTTATCAATACCCACCACTGCGGAAGGCACCTTGTCCTCAAGGTGATAGTCAGAAACAAGGTCAGTCCAAAGTTCCCAAGTTGTGTCTTCAAGCACAAGACCTTTCCATTGAACCAAAGCAAGCTTGGTAGGTGGGGAAGTAGAGGAGTCCATTTTGGTGGCCAGAATTACAAGTGGCTCGATGATGGGCATATTATCCTGTGCAAGAAGAGGAAAGTCAGGTGAAGTGGATGGAATTGGTCCCTTGTGCCGCTTCAAAAGGGAGCAGTGAAACACAGGGTGGATTTTGGAACCCTAAGGAAGATCGAGCTGATAAGTAACAGGGCCAATGCGAGTAATAATGGGGAAGGGACCATAAAAATGCTTGGCCAATTTGGGGAAAGAAGGAGAATGCAGGGAACGTTGCTTGTAGGGACGTAGGCGAATATAAACCCAATCACAAACTTGAAAAGAGACATCCCTGCGCTGACGGTCAGCAATCAATTTCATGGTTAGTTGTGCTTTTTCGAGCTTCTTGCGCAACTGAGCAATGAGATCCTGACGAGTGGTAAGAAGTGAATCCACGACCCCACAGAAGAGGATCCCGTCGAATAGAAAGGGATGGAAGGAGGAGGTTTGCTAAAGGTGATCTGGAAAGGAGTGGTTCTAGTAGCCGAGTGAATTGAAGTATTATAAGACCATTTAGCAAGTGAACTGTACCGACCCCAGTGCGAAGGTTGAGCATGAACAAAAGAACAAAGATATTGCTCCAATGTACGATTAAGAACTTCAGTTTGTCCATCTGTTTCAGGATGGTAAGAAGTACTCATGTGTAATTTAGTATCACATAAACGAAACAATTCGCGCCAGAATTTGCTAATAAAGATTGGGTCACGGTCAGAAACCAGGCTGCATGGGATACCATGGTGCTTGCAAACCATTCCATGAAGAGTTGAGCAACTTTAAAGGCAGTAAAATGGGTAGGAAGGGTACCAAAGTGAGCGCCCTTAGAGAAACGATCAACAACAATGAGGATTACCATATGGCCCAACGAAGGTGGCAACCCAGTAATGAAGTTAAGTGAAAGATCTTTCCAAGTATCATAAGGAATTGTGAGGGGCTGTAGTAATCCAGCTGGTTTCTGAGTTTCATACTTAGTCATTTGGTAAGTGGAACACTGAGAGACATAAGTATGAACAGTAGTGCACATGCCCTTCCAAAAGAAATTGCCCTGGATACGTGCCAAGGTCTTTGAAAGACCCATGTGACCACCCAAGGGTGTAGTGTGGTATTCCTCCAAAAGAAGAGGAATAAAAGGGTTGTCCTGATTCAACCATAGCTTGCCATCATACAATAAAAGATCATTGTAAATGCTGTAAAGGGGAAAAGTAGCAGGATTGGCACGCACATCAGCCAACAGTGAGACAAATTCAGAGCTATCCTGAAGGGATTTGCGTAACTTGTCCAGGAAAAAAAACCGAGGCATAGAGAGAATGAAGAAATGTCCTTGGGCAGGGTCATTAGGACGAGAAAGGGCATCAGCAACCATGTTATGTTTCCCTGCCTTATACTGTATAGTATAGTCATAACCCAACAACTTGGAGATGTATACTTGCTGCTTGGGGGTCTGAATCACTTGGGACATCAGTTCCTTAAGACTACGATGATCCGTGAGAACAACAAAGGAATGGCCCAATAAGTACTGTCGCCATTTCTTCACAGCAGAGGTGATAGCATGTAATTCACGGACGTAAGTGGAGGAACGAAGTAGTCTAGGGCAGAAAGGTGTGCTAAAAAATGTGATAGGATGGTCGTGTTGCATTAGAATAGCACCCATAGCAAAACCTGATGCATTTGTCTCAAGTTGAAAGGGAAGCGTGAAATCTGGAAGAGCCAGAACCGGAGCTTCAGCCATTGGCTTTTTTAGCTAGTCGAAGGCTGATTAGGCAGCAAGACACCAAATGAAATTATCTTTTTTCAATAGGACAGTCAAGGGGGCAGAAATCGAAGCATATCCCTTAATAAAGCGACGATAAAACCCTGTCAATCCCAGGAAGCCACGTAAAGCTTTTATGGAGGTGGGAGATGGCCACTGCACCATTGCCTGTATTTTAGAAGGATTCGCTGCCACCCCATGAGTAGAAACAATGTGGCCCAAGTATTTAAGTTGCTGCTGGGCAAAAATGCATTTGGACTCTTTGAGGAAAAACTGACCCTCAATCAAGGTCTAAAAAGTACGCTCCAAATGATGCAAGTGGGCTTCCAAGGAAGTGCTATAAACCAGGATATCATCGAAGAAAATAATGACAAATTTGTGAAGGAAAGGTTTCAGCAAATCATTCATGGTTGCTTGGAAAGTAGATGGAGCGTTGCAAAGGCCAAAAGGCATGACCCTACACTCATAATGGACCATGTGGGTGCGGAAGGCTGTTTTGTGAACATCAGCCTCATGCATACAGATTTGGTGGAATCCCTGACGAAGGTCCAATTTGGAGAACCATTTGGCACCACCCAATTCGTCCAAAAGTTCGTCGATAGTTGGTAAGGGAAATCTATCCTTCACAGAGATGGAATTGAGAGCCCGAAAATCTACACAGATCCTCCAACTACCATCCTTCTTTTTGACAAGGAGCACCGGGGAAGAAAAAGGACTGTGGCTTGGCTGGATCAACCCAGCATGAAGCATCTCATCGATTTGTTTCTCAATCTCACATTTCTGAAAATGGAGGTAACGGTATGGTCGCACATTGACGGGGGAAGAGTTGGGCAAAAAGTGAATATGGTGGTCGGTTAGGCGTGGCAGTGGTAATGAGGTAGAGGAAAGAAAAAGGGATTAATATTTGTGTAGCAATGAGGAGATGAGGGGATTAGGGGGAGTAACAGTGGGTGGTTGAGATGTGGGTGAGGAAGGTAAAACCTGTATGTGGAAATAAGCAGCACCTGAATTCGTTTGGAAAATAAGTTTGAGTTGGTGGGCTGAAATGTCATGAGGCCCAGAGGGGGCATCGACTTTCCACTCAACCATATGGCCCTCCTTAATGAAACACATGGTCATCTTAGAATAGTCAGTAACAATTGGGCCCAAGGGTTTAAGCCATTGGATGCCTAACACTATATCCGCCCTACTAATGGGTAAAACATTAAGATCGATGGCAAAAATGTGACCTTGTATGGAAACTGGAATAGCTGGGAAAAATTGGTGACACTCAATAACACTACCATTGCCAACCATCACTTTTAATGTGGGAGTGGGTTGCATTGGCAGATTAAGGAATTTAGCCACACGGGCCTGTATGAAATTATGCGTGCTACCACCATCCACAAGAATAGTAACTTGCTTCTTAGAGATGAGGCCCAAAAGACGAAGGGCTTCGGGTGCAGGCAGGCCAGAGAGTGCATTGAAGCTGATTTGGGCTGAAGAGAGCTCGTTATGCATAGTATCCAAGATTAGAGGATCCGGGTCGCGATCCCCTAGAGATTCAGAAGGAGTGGCGGTGTCATCCTCTGGTACCTCTGCAACCAAGAGGAAAAAACGGGCTTTGCACTTATGGCTAGGGTGGAACTTCTCGTCGCAGTAGTAGTACAAACCCTTCTCACGATGAGCTAACATTTCCTCATGGGTGAGCTTCTTGTAATTGGTCTTGACAGATGTGGGGAGTAGAGGTGGAAGAGGGCGGTCATGTGAAGGCGATTGAGTAGAGGAGAGCGATGGCAGAAACAAAGAACGATTCTGGGAGCCCTTTCGCAGGTCATGGAACTTATCCTCTTGCAACTTGGCCAACGCAGCAGCCTGTGTAAAGGTTAGTAGTTGCAAAGCTAAAACCTCCCGTTTAATATCAGGAAGGAGACCAGAAACAAAGCAGCTTAAGAGAAAGGAAGGAGCAAGACCCACAACACGACTAGTTAACCTCTCGAATTCGGTAAGGTAATCATTGACCATACCTCGTTGTGTGAGCTTGAAAAGGAGGCCACGATGATCTTTATAATAGGACGGAGCAAAGCAGGTTTGAAGGGCCTGGAGGAAACCAGACTAGGACTAAATCATGCCATTTTTGTGCATCCACTGAAACCAGCTTAGGGCGGCACCATCCATGTAGAAGGAAGCCACCTTGAGTCGATCGTCTTCGGGTGTGGAGTGGTATTCGAAAAATTGGTTGATCTTGAAAATCCAACCGATAGCGTCATGACCATCGAATCGAGGAACGTCCAGTTTCATATGGGGTTTGGAGAAAGTGGAAGTGTGGGAGTTGGGGGAAGGAGGTTGAGGGCTGGAGAAGTCAAACTGAGAAAGTTGGGAGAGAATGGAGTCGAGCTTGGTGTTAAGCTCATTTTGTGAGGTGGTAAGGAGGGATTGGTTTTGGGTGAGGTGAAGGATGGCATCATCGATGGTTTTGGAGCGGGTGTTGTGTTCGGCCATGGGAAGGAGTGAAATGAAAGCACCAAATTGATAGGGATAAGTTGCCTTAATTTCGAGGATCAAGGAGCCTCCTAGAAATAACAGAGAAGGAAAGTGAAAATACTTCTTCTTGTTCATTCATTTCATTCATTTGGTATTTAACAATCCTCACGTCACCCATGATTGGCTACCCGTGATTTGTGTAAACAGAAAATATTACATACCATAAGGAATCTATAACAGAAAATACAACTTAGCAATATAAGGAATACTAAAAAATAGGAAATGCTAAATTACTTAGAGATATTTCTACTTAGTGACATAGTCACGGAGGTAACTTGGCATCTTGTATCCCCTTTTGGGCCTCTCCTTCATGTTTCCTTCGTTGGTGTTACTTGCCCCATCTAACTTATCAGCATTTGGGCCTAAACTTATAAGGCTGTTGTTATCAAAGAATGTTCCTAAGGATTGAGAACCGAACCTGAGATCATGATACAATGCAAGTGCTTCGATGTAGTCATAGTAGATGTCATGCACCCCTCGTGTTAGGGTTGTACACTGTGATGTTGAGGACGAGGTTATAGTGAAGGGTCTTGTCGATGATATAAAATTGGGTGAGGTTAGCGTCGGTGACATAAAAATGAATCATGTTTGGCTACATGGCCAAAATATAGTGCCCCCAAATTAGAAAGAGGAAAGTTGAGACAATGCTCAAGAGATCAAGAGGTTGCACACGAGTCAACACATGATGTTGTATATGCAAAGAAACTACTAAATTTGGTGTTAAAAGGCACGAGTAATATGTATTACTTAAAAAAATTAATTTTAAAGACAAAATTTAAAAGAAGTTATGAATTTTAACTAATTATTTTTAAAATTTTTGGCCATATTTTGATGCCAATAAGATAAAAAAATGTACAATCATTAAGCTTAATCAAATTTCAAGATTTTATTTTAATTGAGTGAAAAAGGATTTAATAAAAAAAGGTTACTTTTTTTTATATGGTTTTTTTATAAAATATAAAAAATATAGATTTTTTACAAAATTACAAGAATATGGAGTTAAAAATCGCCATTGAATGCAGTACAAAAAATTTATAAATAAAAAAAAAAGTAATAAAATTTTAAAAATTTAACAAACTTTTAAAAAAATCAAAAGTTGTCAATAACAATTTTTAAAAAATAATTAAATATTTAAAAATACATCAAAAGTCGTCAATATAGTTTTTAGCCAAAAATTGTTAATGGAAATTTTTAAAAAAAATTATATTTCCGTAATTTTATAAAAAATTCTTTATTTTTTAAATTGTAAAAAAAAACCCACATATAAAAAAATAACCCTAAAAAAGAAAGCAACACTTTTAGTCAACTAAATTATTTATAACCCGCCATCCAATCTACAGAGCAATGCATATAATACTTAGCACCGACTTAAAACTTTACTTTCCAACATATGCTTGCACATATATTGTTATAATAATAACATAGTATTTTAGTTATTTTAATTTCACTACACCTCTAATAGATATTGAGGCCTATCTGAAAAATTATATAATGAGGTCAATATCCAAACGCGGGATTTTGATGCGTGTATATACAAATTAAAGGAAGAAAACTGAACAATGAGTTGTTAATTTTTTTTAATATCTTAAATTTTTTAATATTACTATGTATTATTATTTCATATTATTCTAATGGTTTTGTATTTATTTTGTGTTAATATAAATGCTAAAAAAATAGAATTAAGGTTAATGTAATGATTTCCGGGAATAGATATTGTAATGGCACTAGAAATTTAATGGCTTGAACAAATGATTTGCGTATTTAAAAAATAATCTGAAAACAACTTTATAAACTTTTGAATGAAAATTAATTTAAGTGAGTAGAAGAAAAATAAAATTAAAAAATTGAGAAGAAAAAAAGATGAACAGTATAAAGACTTGAAATTAAAAATACAAAACAATATATGTGACAGAAAAGATAAACAATACTTAACATTTTTAATAGAAAAGAATTTAAATTTATTTTTTTTAAAAGTTAAAAGATTAAAATAAAATAAAATAAAAATATACTTTAAAGTTAAAAAATAAAAATACTAGTTTTGTCTAAAAATAATTATGGAGCATATTTTTAATAAAGTAAATAATTTATTTTTTAATCAATATATCAGAACACACTTATTAATGATATTTTATAAATTAAATAAATATAAAATATAAAATATAAAATAGAAAGAAACGCGAGCAATAATGATATAAAATAAATAAATTAAATCCATAATATAAACAATAAAAAACTTAGAGCATGATTATGTATGGTCCAATCAAGGAACAAGTGTGCTCAAGAAAATATGAATCAATCACCTAAAACTATTACTGAAAAATAACAATAAGGAAAGATTAAAAAAAAAAAAAAAATTGTAACTGAAACTAATTCAAAAACATCTACTAATAATTCCATGTGCACTTGATCGGATTAAACCCCCGAGCGTGAGATGTTTCATTCTGGGATACAAGAGGAACAAGCAGGTGACAATGAACCTTGGGCTTCACCTTTCTACTTACGAACCGAACAATGTGAAACCTAACCTTAAGAAAAAATTCCACATCAACAGGGTAAACACCAGAACTCTTGTCCTTGTTCACTTCAGAAATTTGGTCTTCATCGAAAGGCATCATGTCCTGACCTTTAAAGACAACAGTCAACGACGTAGCGGTCTCGTGGGGTTGGAAGAATGTTCCTAAAGTTTGGGAACCGAACGGTAGATCATGGTATAACGTAGCTGCTTCAATGTAGTTATAGTGTATGTCAACATTATTGTTGAGGTTGGAGATTCTGACGTTGACGGTGAAGTTATACTGAAGGGTCTTGTCTATGATATTGAATCGGTTGAGATTAGCATCAACGACAGAGAAATTAATCATGTTTGGCTGCCTGGTGAACCAAAAGAGATAGCCCATAAGGGATGCCATTGAAAGGATGAGGGTTATGAGTATGAAAATGAGGATGCACGCGGATTTTCTCATGATGTTGGACCTGTAATCCACCACAACGTGAATCGAAAATCGTTGCTTTCAGAGATGGGTCAGTTGATAAAGGTTTAGTGTATTATGAGCCAATTTTTCAGAATAATCTTGTGGGCTGAATTTTTTATATGAACTGATATGTTTCAGATTTTTCTTTTTTATGAACGATATTATATGAATTTGTGGATTTGAAAACATTGATGGTAGTATAATAAAAGAATATATGATCTTACTTTTCTTAGAATGAATAAAGCTCGAAATTATGTAGTTGATTTAGCAGATGATTCTTAAATTTGTAAACAGGGGATGGTATTGTAGAAAGCGAGAGATACTATTAGGCTTTCTGAGTCGGAAGTACATAAAATTGGTTAATTTATAACAATAGACAAGATAAGATTTGCAAATTTTTATCCCATAACAATTATTTAGTGCATCAAATAACGTACACTGATTCCATAATCTGTTATAAAATCCTATATTTTTAAATATTCAATTTATCTAAAACTTTACGTGTATAATTATGCAGATTATATTTTATTATTCAAATGTTATATTAAAATTTGGTGTCCATGAAAATTATTATTAGTCAAACTTATTCTTAAAAGTGCGTGAGAGTGATTGTGGATCAAGTTTCTTTTCTCATGTGATGTAAATATCTATCATTTAGATACTAATGTATTTTTATAGTGCTGCAAATATGTTTGTATAATTTAATTTTGAATAATAATATTTTATGTTAAATTTTTTAATTTAGTTTAAATATACTAAAAGTATATATATATATATATATATATATATATATATATATATTAGAGATTGTGATATCAAATAAACTAAATAATTTTTATAATAATTAATATAAAATTATATTTATGATTTTTTAATTAGTTAACAGTATAAAATCTTCACATTAACAATGCACAAAAAATAAAATTAATATTTTTTATACTTAAGAAATATCAAAAGTTAGATTTTAATTAGATTGCGTATTAAAAAATTTACAATATCATTCAACTATAAATTACATCAACTATAGTTAATTTTTTTTAATAATTATTGTTTTCAAATCATACTTGTCATACACTTTAATTGATTCATACTGTTAAAGATTTTCACATTAATAATATCTCAAAATTTAACTACAAAACTTATGCATTTGATGTAGACAATATATTTTTAGCAAAATTTTAGCTATGTATTAAAATATATATTTCTTCTATAATTAAAATATTAGTGTAATCTCATATAAATTATCTATCAAATATATTATAATTAATGCTATGAGCGTAAATACAGACATTATTTCAAGAAAATAAGTATTTTTTTTATTTTATCAAATTTGACCATGTTTGTAATACAGTAGTAGTTTAAGCAGAAATTAAATCAAAATATAAATGAAACAAAAGCTTGGCATTGAAAGGTCATCATTCATTAAGAATTTTTATCCATCAAAATTTTAAATTAAAAAAGAAGAATATATTTTAAAAAATTAAAAGTGAAAATTATATTGCATAACAATAACTATATTAAATTAAATAACTAATAGTACAAATAAATTAAGTTCAAATATGTTATTTGATTATATATTACTTGAATTATTAATTTAACTGTATACTAATTATTGAAGTAATTATGTTCATTGAAAAAATTAAATATATTTTCAATAAAATAAAATAATAATTATAAAAATACCTTTCAAAAAGAAAATATTCAGAAATAACCGACCTGAGTTATTTATATAATTTATGAATATAACTAAAATTTTATCCTTTTTAGTTAAGATAGAGGTTGTTTGAGAAGGAAGATTTTGGAGGGAGGGCATAATTTATATTTTAAATAAATATATTTAAAAGTAATATTTTTTTAAAATAAAAGATATAAATTAATACATTAATAAAAAATTGTATTAATAATATATTTATTATTTTTTAATATATGATTAAAAAATAAGTCCTCCCCTCTTGTTTCCTTTAAAAGTTTCTTCTCAAATATACCTTTAGAAAAGAAAAACAATAACTTAATATTTAGATAAATGGTAGAGTAATTAAAAATTATTTAATATATTTTATTTAAGAATTATAATCACTTAACATAAAAAATAAAAATATTTTTTGAGAGTCTTATTTATAATCACAAAGGTTCTTTCTTGACTAGGTTTTACAAAGAATTACATTTCTATTATCTTCTTCCAGTTGAGTTGTGGGAATTTTTTTAGAATCTTCAATTTGTCATATCTAAGTATATTCATATAATTTAAATAGAGTTATATTTAATTTTTATATTTTGTAATCAATGAAATTAGAATTCTATTTAGAAAAATTAAGAGTATCTTTGTTTTTTTTAAAAAATAATTTTCTCTTTTTAAAAATTAAAAAAAATGTATTTTTTGTTTTTAAAAAGATAATTTTTTTTAAAAATAAAAACAAATATGCACTAAATTTGTTAAATTTTATCATATTTTGAAAAAATCTAACAAATATATTTATTAGTTAGTTAAGTTAGATCCTCAAGTAAGATTTCCTTTTTATATTTTAATAGAATTCCCTCTTCTTTAGAATTTTTGTTAAGGTTAAATAATCTTAATTCTTATAACTTAAATTATTAATCTAGGGTCCTGTTTATTTTTAGGCCTTTGAATTTTTTTTATTAAAAAAAAAACAAATATACTTTTAATCTAAATAGTCTTATCTTTTTAACAACGTATCATAACACATGACATAATGTTTTTTTAATGTAAACTAATGAACTCTACGTAAAAGTAAAAACTCTCTTTTTCAAAAGAGAAAAGCAATATTAATAATAGTAATATAAAATAAAAGACTTAAATATATTTTAACTTTAACTTCCTTAAAATATATTATTTTAATTTTAATTTCTATAAAATTATTATAAATTTGATCTTTCTCCTTTACATTATTTTAAAAATGAATTTATAACAAAAAAGCAACACATTACAATTTTTAAGTTAATTACATTATTATATAACAATAAAAAATACATAAATTTTGAAATATCAATTAAAATAAAAGATTATAATTTTATAATAATAAATATCAAAATACTGCATATTTTAAAGAATCAAAATTATTTAACTCTTTAAAGCATATCATAAAACTATTAGAATCATGATAAATTTTTTATTAAGTATTATATATATATATATATATATATATATATAACATAATCTTCTAAAGTATAAAAATTTTTATATTTAATTTGAACATTTTATTTAATATACATTTAATAAGATATAATTTATTATTTTACTCTTTCACTTATAGTTATATATAAATTAAATAAAAGACTTAAATTAAATATAAAATTTTTTAAATTCATATCACATGAAAAAACCCTTCACCTATGTCTATATATATTATCAAATTTTGGCACTAATTAAATTATATATAGTCCAATTTACAAAGACAAATATATCCCGAAATATAAATCACCTAACTTCTCTGATCACTGTTAGCAATACTGATGATGCTGCTACTGACAAAAAGAATAATAATAATAGCAATAATAAAGTAAGATAGAAAAAAAAAACAAGAATTTTCCAACGGAATTTAATGGAATAACATCTTCACATAATCCAATTTGCATTTGGTGGCCTGAAATCCAAGTGCATGCGATGTTCCATTCTGTGAACTGAGAGGAACGTGCAACTGACAAAGAATCTTGGGCTTCACCTTCTTAGAAAGGAACCAACCAGTTTGGAGCCTAACCTTGAGCAAAAACGCCACATCAATGTGGTAAATCCCAAATCTCTTTTCTCTGTTGACCTCCGAAATTTGGTCAGAATTGAGAAGCATCACTTGCTGACCTTGGAAGCGAATGTTCCACACTGCAGAGCTCTTGTGGGGTTGGAAGAAGGTATTTAAGATTTGGAAACCGAACCTGACATCATGGAACAATGCAACTGCTTCGACGTAGTCGTAGCAGATGTTAACCTTCTTGTTGGGGTTGCTAACAGCGACATTGAGGGCGAAGCTATAGTCAAGATTCTCGCGGGTGATATAAAATTGGGTGAGGTTAGCATCGGTGACATCGAAATGAATCATATTTGGCCGCACGGAGAGCCAAAGGAGAGAGCCCACAAGGGCTGTGATTAAGAGGATGATAGTCGTTAGTATGACACAGATGTTGCACACGAATCTACACATGTTCTCGTACACAAGTTCACCACAACGCCAATCAATTTTTATTGCTTTCAGAAGAGGCCTCAACCCTCAATTCATGAGGTTTATATATACTATCAAGTGTTTGAATTTCAGAACATAATCTTGTGGATTGAATTTGATATGTATCGTATTTTTCTTCCTTGTGAACCAAGTTTTAGTACAAGACTCGTGAATTTGTGGATTCCAACCATTGATTGTAGAAGAATAGAAGAATATGTGATTTCAATTTTCTATGTATGAGATCTCAAAATTATCCCATTGATATAATTTTGATCCTGCCCTTTTTCAAAACAAAATTATATCGTTAAAATAAACCAAAAAAACTATAAAAATAATAAATTATTTTTATAAATCCTTCTAATTAAATAAGACTACATTACACACTAATTTCGACTAAACTACTAAAATAATAGCGTAATAGCATGCGCTTCAAAAATTTCATACTATAAACAGATAAAACTAGCAAAATCTTGAATCTAAAATACTGTAGTACAAAATCAATATCAGCATGGTTTTAGTTTTAAAAATATATATATATTCTAACCTTGAGTGAACTTCTTAATTATTCATGTCAAATTATTTAACTGCCCCTTTTTATTATCATTTTATTTTTATATTTTTTATATAATATGTAAAATTACATTTTTTTATATATAACTTTTTTATTTTAATTTTATTCTTTATTTTTAATTTTTATCTTAAATTAGTCTTTCCGTTATATTACCATTAAGCCTAGTCAAAATCTCACTAAAAATAGATTCCTTCTCTTGATGACCGATGAAATTAATTATTGGATATCTCTAAACAGAATAAAAAGTAAAAACGATCAAATCACAAATTTTGCTTAAATTATATTATTTTTTAACTGAACATTATGAATTTAGAGTATACGTTATGAATCGATTGCTTGTGAGGGAAGACAAATATAATTTACTTTATAATATATATAAATATATATAAAGTGATTATTCTGATGTGAAAGAAAAAATTTGATATATCAAAAATGTTTATAAAATGAAAATTAAATATTTTATAAATATAACGTCATACAATTACAAAATGTAATTAATTATACTGGGATGGTATAACATTTATTGCGAACTCAGAATTATATGTTCTACATTTTATGATTTTTTTTCATAAAAATATTATAAATATAGATAATTGAAAAATATTGTAAATTTGAAACTAATAAATTGGGTGTTAAATTTAATAAATATTATAATTATTTTATAATATTTCCTACAATTGTTGATCAACTTTAATAGATTTGATTTAAAAGAATATTTATATTTTATTTTAACCCTGGTGGAAGAATTAAGTTTGATATTACTGGTGTAAAGATTTCTATCAATAATAAAACTAACAAAATTTGAATCCCAACTATTGCATTATAAAACTAATATACGCTTGATTTTAATTTAGAAAATAGATAAAATAAACTTGAATCATACAATACCAATTCAAGTGAAATTATTCAGTTCCCTTCTTTTTTTCATTATTCATCTAATTGAATTAACTTATTCATTTAAGTCAAGTCACTTTTTTTTATCATCATGCAAATAATTCATATTGTAAATGAAATGCCTTAAATGTTTTTTACTTTAACATTATTCCTAAATAGAATTTTATGCATAGTTATCAAAATGTTAAAAAATAGTAATAAAAAAATAGGATATTAGTTTCTATTAATAAATCATTAGACATGAAGAGTAGTATTTTTTGTATGTATAATTTCATAAACAAATACGTCAATATGAATAAAAAAAATTTATCTATTAAAACCAAGATATAACAGAACTCTAAAATTGTTCATAATAAAATATATCAAAATCTAAAATAGGACTAACGAAAAATTCTTTTCACATTCAACTCTTCACCCTTAGCTGCTCCCCAACTCTGACATGACAACAGTTGCTGGAATGTAGTCTAGTCGTCGTGTATGATATCTTAACATCCATGTTTATACCATTTACAGTAGCACGAGAAACAGAGTATTGAAGAAATACAAAAATTCATACACTTGCACTCCATAATTTCTTTTTATAATTTAAACAAATTATTATTACATAAAACTAACAATTTGTTAAAAAAAAAAAAAACAGCAATGCCAACAATTATTAACTTAGAGCATTGTATATATGCACTCCTTAATGTATCAACAAAATATAATTAATCTAATTACTCCTGCATACAACTAATACTAATATCATTACTATTACTACAACAATTATTATTATTATTATTATTATTATTATTACTAATTACTAATGCTGCTTATTATAATAAAGCAAGACAAAAACGAGTTTTCTGGTGGAATCTAATGAAAGCACATCTATTAGAAACCCCATGTGCACTCAGTGGTTTGGAACTCAAGAGTGGGTGAGGGTCCTTCGTGTGACATCAGAGGAACCTGCAGGTCACAATTAATGTTGAGCTTCATCTTTTTAGTTTCGGATCGACCCATTTTGAACCTAACCTTTAGGAACAACCTCATATCAATGTGGTAAATCCCAGAACTGGTTTCCTTGTTCGTCTCCGAGATTTGGTATGCTTTGAGGGGCATCACATGCTGACCTATGAAATGCAACATCAACGTAACATTGCTATTGGGGTCCTGGAAGAAGAAGGGATCTAAGGTCTGGAAACTGAACCAGACATCGTGGTACAATACAATTGCTTCGAGGTGGTCGTAGTAGATTCCAACCCTGTTGTTGAAGTTGCACATTGTGACGCTGAGGACGAGGTTGTAGTCAAGGTTTTTGTTTATGATGTTGAATTGGGTGAGGTTAGCAGTAGTGACGTTGAAATTAACCACGTTGGGCCGCACGATGAGCAAGAAGATACAGGTTGCAATGATCGTGATTAAGATGATAAAGATCAAGATTGTGACAAAGAGTTCCCACAAGAATCTGCACATGTTGTAGATGGAATTAAAATTGTAGCCACAACGCTAATGGATTAATTGCTCGTAGAAAAGAGTCAATGGACGAGGTTTAAATATAGAAATGTGTGCGAAATTCTGAACGAAATTTTGTGAGTTAAATTTTTATTATATGATGTGATATATATGGAATTTATAGTACAAAACTGATTTTGTTGTTTGCAAATATCTTTTTATAAATATTATTGTAAAATTTTAAATTTTGGTTTAAATATAGTGCACGGGATCTAAATTTTCTTTATTTGACGATCTCAAAATTATGTGTTAATTTAGCACAGATCATTAACTTAAAATTTTGAGCTGGATTTAATCATATATAAGGAAATGAGTTATAACATTTATTGCGAATTATTTCTTCGATTTTTAATGCAATATTTTGATTAAGGGAGATGGTTGATGAATTACTTAGAGGTGTTCCTTTTCTATATTTTGAATGTATTATGAGATACATGTAATTAGAAAGGATAAAATAAAAAATAATAATTATATATAATATGATATTAAACTAAATTTGAAGGCTGGACGGTACCTTTGCTGAAATGAACTGCAAACCTTCAGTTTCCAAGCCTGACGCTCTCCCATTGAGCTAAAGGTGCTAGATGAACCTGCTGGTACTACGTACTAATTTGTGAATAGCTATTTATATAAATTATGTTACAGTTAAATTATTAATGAAGGAAAAATAACTATTTATTTACCTTTATAATATTAGTCATTTTTGTTTGTTATACTTTTAAAAAAAAAAAAAAGTTTTGAACATTAATTTCCTTGTCATTTATTCAAAGGTGTTTCTGTAACATACGTAATTCAAAAAATCTTCTCTCATGCGTTAACATACTTCTATAGATTAAAATTTGGTTTAATGGAGTTATTCTGTGTCGGCGAGTTCTCATGCTATAGATTATTTATATATGTTTAAGTACAGCTTTTTTAGTTATATTAATTTTTTACTAATAAAAAAATGTTGAAAATAAAACACCATGTTTTAATAATCCCTGAATATAGCATAAAATATATTTATATTTATGTTAAATGTCATACAAAGCAAGTACTTATATTTTATTTATATAAGTAGATACATTCATTAATTGACATATAATCATTTCATATTTTGAAGATTTTTAGAATAGAGTATGAATTTAAAATTTATAATGATTTTTTGTTTTCATGAATTCGGTATATATTTTTTATAAATGAGACCAAAAGTAAGTATTTTATATTATCATAAAAATATTTGTATTTTTTTTATGATATTATGGTAATTAATATTTTTAATTTTAATAAAAAAATTAACTTCTTAACACATCACATATTCTTATATTATATAACCGTACGTTAAAAAAATATATTTAAAAATAGATACTAACGATACTATATATTAAAATTTAAATGTAATGAAAATCAAACCATAAAGAAATATAATAATACATTTACTGATAACATACTTAAACGGAATGTAGATTTAAAATATTAATGAAAATTGCAAAAATAAATTTGATTTGAGCGAGAAAATTATTATTAAATTAACATAAATCTGCACATGGTGTCATAGATGGAGTTAAAATTGTAGCCACAACGCTAACGGATGAATTAGTTAGAGGTGTTGGTTCTATAAATGTATTGTGAGATACATGTAATTGGTAAGGATAAAATAAAAAATAATAATTAGATATAATATCATATTAAACTAAAAGATGATTGGTGATTAACTGACTTGATGGTACCTTTGCAGAATCGAACTGCAAACCTTCAGTTTCCAAGACCGACGCTCTTCAATTGAGCTAAAGGTACTAGATGAACAGAATAGCACCGTCACCGGTCTTTGTATTTGATCTGCATTTAATTATTTAAAACATAAAAGTAACAATTAATTTGTTAAAAGTATTCATAAAATACTTTATAGCATATAATAAAGAATGTAAATTTATTTTTAATATTAAATTTTATATTTAGTAATTCGATTGTTTTATTTACTTTCAAAGACAATTAGAATTTTAGCAAAATTAAGAACTTTATTCATAGATTTAAGAGTGATCTAATTGCTAATATAAATCCTCTATTCTTATATGAGAGTTAGAATTAGGTGTACTGAAAATTAACTAATAATAAAATTATTTTAATAAAATCTACTTATAATTAATATCAAATAATGATTATTTTAATACATTGTAGGACAATTAATATCTTTAAGCTTGTTTAGAATTGAGAGAGACCACTTAAAATTAATATCTTTACTAGAAAATTGTTCATGGTAGACTTCTAACTAATGAAAAAAAATTTCATTAAAATATAATGTTCTACTCTTTTTACTCTAGATGTATAGAGGCCCATGAAACAATAACTCATGTGTTCATGTACTCTTGGGTTGCATTTGGAAATAAATTCTCCCTCTTAATATATGGTTTACTTTTTTTTGGTACGAGATTATTTAGTTGGTAGGACTTTAATATTTCTAATAAGAACTTTCCCATATATCCTTTTTGGAATAAAGTGTTTGAAGTTGTTACTTGGAATTTGGAAAAATAGAAATAATACTATATTCTAGAATAATCCTCTAAATAGTAAGGATTTATTAAACAAAATCTTGTCTAATATTGATTATTTCATTCTTGTTTGCATGTCTCATAAGAGGAGTTCTAAAACTGTTGGTTCTAATAGTTTAGTGAGATGGCAAGTTACTTTAGAGAATCAATTAAAACTCAACATTAAGGCAAGCAGCAGATTGATTAAAAAGATTTAGATTAACAGACTTGCTCCCAAATTTTTCATTTTCAAGAAGGATAGGATTAAAATCACCTGTCAAACACCAAAGACAGTTTACAAAAGAACTAAACTTGATGAGAGACTCCTAACACTGAACTCTAAGCCCTTTCTGAGGGCTAACATAGACAGAGGATAACACTCATTCTTTTTTACCATACCTCACCCTCAATTTTATAAATAATTTATTCTTTTCTAAAATGTCAACCTTAATTTTTCTAATATTCCAGCAAATCCAAATTTCTCTGAAGAATCCTACTGCATCAACTTTCATTAAGTCATCTAGATTAAATCTTTTAATAATTAAGTTAACCTTAGTAAGAGTAACTCGAGGTTCAAAAAGAGCAAGAAAATCTAGATGATGAATCTTAATCAAGTCATTAATAAGTCTGGAAAAGGTCTTTCCTCCAGCACTCCTACAATTCTACAATAGGCAATTCATGAAATCAATTAATAAGGTTGGAGGCATCCTTAGGATATTGAGATAATCCTAAGCTATTAGCTCCAGGGATATAACTGTTAGAGGTACCATGCTCTTAATTCTTACCTATATCTAGGTCCTTTATTAAAGGCCTATCAGGTTGTCTGTAGTAGGTCAAGATAAAAAATTTCTTGTGCCTTTCAACTAAACTCAAGATTAAGACCTATGAGGTCTTGGATGCTATGACTTAGGTTCTTTTTTTTTTTTTAAGGATTTTTTGATAAGTGCTCATTAAGTGTAGAGTTTCCTTATCATCCATACTATATTGGTATTCTTAAACTATTTGTTCCTTACTTATGGTTATGTCTTGAGCAAGTTTAGGACACATATCTTTTCCTTTACCTATCCTTTCGAAAAAGATTTAGACTTGACACCTTTTCTACTAGAATCATTGGGTTTGAGAGAGGCATTAAGCTTGGTTGGCTGCTTAGTAATTATATGATTTTTAGAATAAGAATTCTTGTCCTAGATGGGACTTGAGGATTTGTAATTGCTAGTTTCTACTTCTTGATTCAAATATTAGGATTTGTACTTAATACATCAAATCTAGATCTACATAGAACTTTCTTTATATTCTCATTTTTATAGATGACCCCATTAACTAATGGGAAACTAGCCCTTCTCCTTAAATTCTTTTTAGCTAGCATCCACGGACCAAAGTGGTTCTCCTCCTTCCCTACCTGGTTGAGTTTAACAAACTCTACACATTATTCCTAGCGATGTCCATATTTATCACAACTAAAGTAAATCCAGAGCAATCCCTCATACTCCACCTTAAATTCTTGACTTAAGGCTTTGAAACTAGGAATCAACTTTCTCTTGAGATCTATTTCTATACAAATCCTTAAAAAATTTCTCATAGAAAGCAATAAGGTATAGGGGTCAACATTTAACATAGGTTATAGGCAAGAGTCCACCTGCTACAATAATTTATCATTATACAGTTCTAAGGATAAATTAGGAATACAAACCCAAACCGCAATACGCCTAAGATAGTAATCTTTAGTCCTAAAGATGAGTTGCCACCTTTGAATTAAAAGATGGTGATCCAAAATTAGTCATGACCTTTCAAAGAGGTACTTACAAATCTAAGATCTTCATGCATGCATCCTTACATCATTTCTGATGAAACATCCGATGCTATCTTCACCTTCTTTGTGCTTTAATTCTATAAATTCATCTCTTCCTTGGATTTTTTCTCACCATCGGTGCATTCCATCCTTCCAGGCTTTGTCTAGTTAAGGGTTAGAGCTAGAACATGTCCTCTCTAGAGATCAATTTAGCTTAGGTGGCTAGGGCAAGAATCCTAGCGGCACTTATCCCCTTTCTTGAGAACACGAAAGTTATTTCTTGGAAAAAAATCTTAGCGGTAATATGACTAACTAACACAAATCTTCGATATATTTTTTTTCTAATTACTATAAAATAAAATTTATTTATTTTAAAAGTAAATTATCAAATTTATGTTATTTTATTTTTTTATAAATATTAAAAATTTTCAATTTAATAATTGAAATTAATTTTTTTAAAGTAATCAAGTCTATTTTTAATTTCATAAATTTTATAATTAATTAATTTTATTTTAACTAATATTTTAGTTTTAAATATAAATATATGTTGATAGTAAAACAACATATCTACCAGGTTTAATTTAAAGGTCTTTTTATTTTTTACAATGTGAGAAATATAAATTAAATATTATTTTTATTTTATATGAAACTTATATTTTTAATTTAATCCTTAAAATATTGTATAACACAATTATCTCATATTTAAATATTTTTATTTTTATTTTGATATAGTATATATAATTTTTTGAAATTTTAATCCTTATACACAAAAAAATTAAAAATTAAGATAAAATAATATGTTACGACAACGACAATAATAAATATATTATATATAAGAATTAAAATGAAAAAATTATAAAGCTAAAATAATCGGTGATAGGTTATAAAAATAATTTACTAAACTTAAATAATCTAATTATATATTAATGTAATTATGAAAATTTGACATTTAAAGTTGAATGAGAAAAATAAACTTTGATGTTCTAAGGTATTTTTGAGAGATTATTTTAAAATAAAAGTTTATATAAAGTATCTTAAAAATATTTTTACTAATTTTTAATTAAAATTAGATATCATTTTTTAAATTAGTATTAATATTATTAAATTAACTATTGAAGTAAAATTTTAATTTTAATTAAAAATTTATAAAATCTACCATAAATTATACTTAAAATAATGATCATTTGAATTATAGATTTTAATTTTTCAATTAAAGAAAACTAAAAATGAGGCGCTGCTGGTGCCCTCTCTAATCACATTAAGTCACGATCTTCTTATAAATAATCATCAGTAATATCTTTTAACTTATTTTTATGATAACTTTTATTAACTCCTATCCTTAACATTTTATTTTTTTTTGCACATTATCTTCAAACACAATTTTTTAATTTTGATTCCTTTAATTAATATATATATATGACAATTAATATAAAAAAATATGTTATATATAAAAATAAAAAAACATTGAAATATGAGATAACAAATTTTTTATAACAAAAATTAACGTTCAGAACTATTTAAAAATATAATTTTTGTTTAAAAATAAAATAATATTTAACCCTTAGAATTAACCTAAAAGTGTGAATTATTAAAAAAGAAAAAGTTAGCAGGAAGCAACAATAAGTCAATAACCGTAATAATACGAATTAAAAAAAAGAACATTAAATTCATAGCAAATCCAACGAACCACAAGGACCATGGCCATGGTTGAATCAAGGAACAAATGCAAGGAAGATATACATAACCAAAAGAAATTAACAAAATTAATAAAGGAAGATAAAAAAAAAACAAGAAATTTCCGGTGGAATCTAATTAAAAATAAAAAAAACTCGGGTGAGATCTAATGGAACCACATCCGTTTGTAATCCCAATCGCAAGCTGTATCCTGAAACTGAAATCCACCACCAGAAGAGGTTCCGTTATGCGATTCCAAAGGAACCTGCAATTCACAACGAATATTGGGCTTCACCTTCCCGGATTTGAACAAACCCAACTTGAACCGAACCATCATATTCAGCTTCACATCGATGGAATAAACCCCAGAACCCTTCTCTTTGTTCAGCTCCGAAACCTGATCCTCAGTGAGTGGCATCACGCGCTGGCCCTTGAAGACAGGGCTCAACACGCTTGTATTCTTATGGTGCTGGAAGAAGGGACCTAAGGTCTGGGACCCGAACCTGACGTCCTGGTACAGCGCGAGCGCTTCGATGTTGTCGTAGTAGATTCCGAGCCTGCGGTTGGGGTTTCGGATGGTGACATTAAGGGCAAGGTTGTGACGGAGCGTGTTGTTGTTGTAACTGAATTGTGTGAGTGTGGCGTCGCTGACATGGAACTTGAGGGCGTTGGGGCGCACGATAAGCCAGAAAAGAAAGGCCACGATGGCCACGATGATGAGAATGGTGGTTAAGATTTTGCATATGATGCTAAGGATGCAGTTGAAGATGCATCCGCAGCAACAGCTGAAGCACCCGCCACCGCGCCCTGGCCGCCGGTAATATTTCGGCGGCGGCGGAATGGAGGGTCCGTAGTACGCGCCGTTCAATTGGGACATTGTGAAGAGCGTTCAAATTTTCGGAACGTTAGAGGTTGGTGTTTGGTAAAGTAATTTTTGGGAAGTGTAGAGAGAGAGAGAGTGTAAGTTTCTTGCTTGTAGTGCGGTTTAAGGGTGCGTTGAGTGAGGGTTTTGTGGAGTCTTATATGTGGCGACTTGCGAGAGGTGCGCGTGAGAAATGGCGCGTGACTTATGACAGTGACGTTCATCGCAAGTGCGATGGAAAGTCAGAAGCACTTATTTGGAAGGAAAGCAATGCAAACAAAAAACATAGACGCGGATTCTGTCAAGTAAATAAAGGTTTACTGATTAGTATTAAGTTTATATTAAAATTTTTTGTTATAATAGTTTATATTAAAAGTTATAAACATATTATTAATATTTTTAATCAAGAGTTTTTATTTTTATTTTTTAATTAATTATCTTAAATACAGTAATTAACATCACCTAACAAAACGCGTTTGTACTAGTGTTAACTGGGGGAACTGGGAAGGAACGCTTTTAGTTTTAGAAACGCGCCGTTTATCTTTTTTGTTTTAATTGAAAGGAACGTTTATGGTAAATAAAATAAATTTTAAAAGAAAATTAATTTATTTATTTATTTTGTTCTTTAAAAGTTAATTTTATGGTAGGAATAATTTGAAAAAATATATGATTCTTATTGTGTTTCTTGTGCATTATGTATTTATTATTAAATTAAAACAAATTTTTAAACTAAAAAATGAAATACATATTTTATAGATATTTTATGTTTTATAAATTTTATTTTTTTAAATATTAATAATAATCATTTCATTATACTGAATAATATTTTTAAAATATGATTTTTAAATAAATTTTGAAATATTTAAAATTAAAATTAAAATAAATGTTCCAAAGTCACATGATTTTAAAAATATTTTGTTTAATTATTATACTTATATGTTATATATGAAATTAGATTGGTTCTTATGAAACTTTATTTTGAATAAGTAGTTAATGGTTACACTAATGGTTAGTAAAAGAAATATGGTAGATAGGATTTCGAAAATAAAAACTTAATAAAAAATACTAAGTAATAAGTTTTTAAAATTAAAAAATATAAATATAATAGTGAAATAACTTTAATGTTAATTATAAATATACAAATTAAAAATATTTTTAAGTAAAAAATGAAAAATTCATCAACTTTAATATATATTTTAAAATTATAATTTTTTAAATATTGTCATTTTTAAAAAAATTTTAATATTAAATGATTTTTTTCTATAATGATAAATATATTTGAATCCTCTCTATTTATGCTATAAATGAAATTTTAATTTTTTATTCGCTTGAGTAATTTTAAATTTTAAGTAAAATTAAAATTTTTTATTTAAGGAAGAGACTGTTTAGCTTAAGGGAATAGAAAATTACATAAACAATATTTATGTTTAGTGAAGATTAATAATTTAGAAGGAAATTTTAACAAAAATCACAATTTAGAAATAATGATTGTGACTTAAGAAAAATAAGTGAGTTAAAATAAAAAAAAGAATTTGTTTAAGATAATTTTTTTTTTAAAAAATAGAAACTTATATAATAAACACACTCTCAAGTAGTTAAACTCGCTCAAATAAATATAAAACTGTTCAAATAAAGTGTGATTTGTTTAAGTAAATTTTTATTGTCTTAAATGAAAATTGGACAAAAAGCAGTATTATCAATTTTGCATTATTCACTTTAATGAAGACTAATTAGCTATCATATTCACTCCAAAATTCTTACTTTATCTACACTTTTAAATTTTAACCCAACTTTTAAATTTATCTATACCTTTAAACTTTAACTTAGTTTTTACTTTCATTTCACAATTATAATTGTTATGTTTTTTAACAAAATAAAGAAAAAAAATTTTTGAAGTTAATTTAATGTTCATCATTCATTAAAAACTTTAAAAAAATTATATTTTTTATAATGGAATACCACACTTAAAGTATAGTTGTTTGACAAGTGGAAAAACAAAAAGCTAATAACATGTTTGATTTTCTTATTGAGTGTCTTGCTTTTATATGCCACTAGACTTTCAAGATTATATTTTAAGATGATGTTTTGAGCAAGTATTTCTTGAAAGATATATCACACTACTAAAGTTTATGTGTCAAATTTTTACTCAATTTGTTTAAATAAATAAATTTTATTTAAGTAATAATTATTTAATTAAGTACTTTTCATCGGGTGAAGAGACTTATGTATATCGTCTTAATTTTAAACTCATTTAAGCAACTTGATATTTATTTAAATAATTTATTATTAATAATTATAAATTTTAATCCTTTAAAATTATTAAATTTTAAAAAATTATATAATCTTTTTTATTATTCATTTTAACTATTTTTATTTAAATTTTTTACTTTAATTTAATAATATCTATGTAATGTATGAAAAATCACTAATTAAATAAAATCTTACAAGATAGATTTAATGAAATTGTTTAAAATTATAAAATAAAAAATATTAAATTATATTGGTGCAAGTTATATTTACTTTTACACTGTATAATAATTTTTTATCGAGTAATTTAATCTTAAAACTAACCAAAAATTTCAAACATGTAGATAATATTTTCAAATTTTCATATTAATACAAAAATGCATAAGAAGTCATTCATGTATCATAAAATTAATGTAAACTATTATTTTAAAATATGTAAAAATGAGAACCCTTTAATTACATCATTGTAGTTGTTTAATTTTAACCAAAGTTGACATAACTAATTGATAAATATATAAATATAATGTAACTGACATATAAGAACTAGTTTTATAGTGGTGTAATTTCACCCCCTTATAAAGTTTATATACATGATTTATATATAAAAATTAAATTTAAAATTAAAAAATTAAGATTCCATTATGAAAATAGTAGAATGAAATATAAAGTATTTTAGTTTTTTTTTTTTTTTAACTAGACTTAAGGGTTTAGGGTTACTGAAAATTGAGAGGAAGTCTCTTTTAATCCAGCATACTTGTATAAAATATATATGAGTTGCATGAAGATATATTTTATTCTATTATATTTTTTATCTTTAAATACAAAATTTTATTATTATTAATTTTATAAATTTTAAAAATTCAAAAATATCCTTTATTTTCAACTTTATATATTGACAATTTTTATATTAAAATTTTCTTTAACATTGAAAGAATTCAAATCTAAACTTTAATTATTTAAAATTTTTGTATCATTTCCTAATTTTTTTTTATCTCATAACTGAACTATAATATTTTCAATTTAGTTATTTAAAGTAAAAAAAAATGTTCTTCTTCTGAAATTTAATTAATTTCTTTATATATTATATTTTTTTGGTGTATGTGCTAAATAAAGAAAATTTCCAATCAATGGTCAAATTCTAATTACTTCCGAATATAGAGATCGCTGAATTGACCTTTACCTTACTGAAAAAAACTTCTATATACATTACTACAAATCAAGTTCTATTCAACATGTCTAAAAAATTTAACTATTTATCAATTGTATCAAAATTTATTAGTGTCTATTTATATTTTATCACTTACATTAAAAAAATTACCCATAATGCACATATACCTACTAGTTTAGTAAACAAAGATGATTTGCTTGAAAATATATAATACATGTTTAATCAACATTTGCACAGTATTATCAAAGATTATTCGATATTTGATTAAGCGTGTAAATATGAAATAAGCAAATAAGTGCTTGATTAAATTTTGGTCGCTCTATTATTGTTAATGGGCAATTTGAGATGTTTAAATTATACTTAAAAAAAAATGTATAATCTCCTATCATATGAAATGAATGAAGCTATATTTTAGTCTTTTTAGAATAAATAAATATATTAAGAATAGTCAATATCACGAATGTGTATATATTGACAATATTTGGTACTTTTTACTATCATTATTATTGCTAGAGAAAAATTTTAAACATTTTATTATTATATTAAGTTAGAAGATACAATAAAGTTTTAAACATATTTATTATCAATTTTCAATTTGTATATATAATTTTTATTTTATCTTCTCAAATTATAAAATTGATGGCCAATGTTCTAAACCAACCATTAACCATATCGAGAACTATCACAGAAAAAAAATTTATCCAAATTACTAATTTATACTAAAATAAATTTAAATATAACATATATTTATCTTTTAAGATATAATTTTTTATGTTTTATCATGCAAAAAGAGGAAGTGTAATATAAATATTTCTAAAGAGAAAATAATATAATTTATTCTACAAATAAATCCGAAATTGATTAAGCAGATTAAGAAACTTTAGGAGCTCTCTAAGCATATGTTATTTGTAATGAATACAGAGAAAAAAAAAAGAGGAAACCAATTAAATTGAGAATAAAAATTGCAAAAAATGAATTAAAGTGGAAAAGAGGAAATGTGGTTTTGTGAGTGAAAGTCATGTACAGGGAAAATAATTACCTCAATTTATTTATATATCCATTTAGAAATTTCAAAATAGAAGAAAATAAATAAATAGGATTCTTCTTTCATATTGTTTTCTCTTAATACGAATCGTTTAACAAAGACATGATTAATATACACTACATGCATTTTTCATCATAAAATTATCATTATAAAAAAATACAAATCAGTACTTTTAGAATATTAGTTAAAATTTGAAAATGAAATTATTCTTACTTCTGTGATTTTTATTGCATCTTAATGTGATTTTTCATTTATTATTTTAATAATAAGTACAATTTTATTATTTATTGATTTTTTAATTAGTACCTTAAAGTACTAGTTATTATTGTCGTTGTTAAGTTTTGTAAGTTATATTTCAAACCCATTACAACAGGTTAGCAACCAAATGGTAAGCCCATTTCGCTTTGTCCAACCTTTCTGGGTTTTAAAAAAGGTAAAGCAACGGTAGCCCAACAGTCAGCTCTGTATATAATAAAATCAAAAAACTATCTTCGGCCTTTTTATTTTTATTTTCTGCTATTTGCAACCCTTTAGAAACCGAAAAAAGTTGCCCCAAAAAAAATGAAGAAAGAAAACTGAAATAGAGGAAGCTGTAAAATCAATAAAAATGAAAATAATTATATAATATAACATATAATGTTAATTTTTATAATTCAAATAATATTTTTTTTTTCTGGGCATTTAGCCTCGTTGAATAGCAACAATATATATGTTCAAAGAAGAAAATATCAGATCGAATAAAAAAGGACAATTATCGCTTGTCATTCAGTGTTGGAAATAAAGTAAGTGGAGGAAAGAGAAAAGTAAAAAATAAAATAAAATTAAAAAATGAATAATATGATAAAATAAAGATTTTATTAATTTCAGTCTTTAAATCTTCATAAATAATTTTTTTTATAAAAATATATATTTATTACCTTGAGTATAATACAATAAATATTTTTTTTTTCTAAAAGAAATATATAAACAAGAAAGGACCGAAACTAAATATAAGGGCCAATGAATGTAAAATTATAAAAGATAAAGAGAAAGACATAGGATAGCAAAAAGGATAAAGAAAGATATAAGATTGACCTACAGGCGAAGAGCGGGGATAATAGCGAGACTGGTGACTCTTTTGAATAACACCACATTTTCATAGTTATAACACATGATTTAATATAGAATTTATGATTAAAATTAATTCAAGCACACATTTTAATTACATTAAAAAATTTAAAATAAGAACAAATGAAATCATAACATTCCGAAAAGAAAGAAACAAAACAAGGATTCATACATGGTGGTAGAAATCAACAAAGGGTGTAGCTGGGATTCAGAAATCGATTTCACATTTGGTGGGGTGAAAGTGAAACGCAGTCTCCATTTTCCCACCAGAACTCAAAGGAACATCGAGCTCACACGTGCCTCTGGGTTTGAAATCACCAGATTGAAGATCCCCAAGCCTGAACCTAATTCTAAAATTAATCTTAATATCGAAATGGAAAACCCCATCTTTGTTATCTTCGTCGAATTCAGAGACCTGATCCTGATCAAGCACCATCACGTGTTGGCCCGAGAAAACGGCGCTAAAAAGGTTCATGCTCTTCTTGTTCTGTAAATAGGAGTTCCACGGCATGTTAACGTCCGTTGTGGCGAACCTAACGCCCTCGTAAAACGCGTTGGCCTGAACAACGTCGTAATAAATCTTGAGCTTTTTGTTTGGGTTGCGTGCGGTTATGTTGAGGAAGAGGTTGTAACGGAGGGTGTTGGCGGTGTAGTTGAATTGCGCGAGCTTGGCGTCAGTGACGTGGAACTTGAAGGTGCGGGGTGTGATTAAGATGTAGAGCACGAGAATCACAAGGCAAACGAAGACCAATATGCAGACGAGAAGGATCCAGAAGATTCGGAAGAGGCAGCAACAGCATCTTCTGCCAAGGTGCCGAGGTTGTTCCTCTTGCGCAACAGAAGAGTCGTTGTTCGCAGCATTCGATTGAGGTTGTTTGTCGGCCATGTCTGTCACAGGCGGGTAAGTGAAGTGTTCTCTGTTTTGTGGCGAAGAGAGGGTGAAGTATATATAGGTGGAGAGAGTTGATAAAAGAGGGTTGAACAAGATAGAAAAAACCAACGCGGGTATCGCTTGTGATTGTTATGTTTGACCCTTCGACATGATTGTGTGTGGTTCCAGTCAAATGTAACTGTGAGTGGCGGCTTGAAATTGAGGTGTCTTTAAGGTTGAGGTAGAAATAGAATGCATGTTTGGTTTGTCCCGTGCCACTGCAAAAGAAGAAAATTCCGCAGCCAGTTCTACGTCCCCACTTCATTTTGGCTAGTTTTACGATGGTCACTAAGTTTTTGTGACTCTCCATGGGCCTAATTTCATAACCAGATCTCATGAGTTTTATAGGTTTCATATTTATTTAAATAGTTTCAAAATTTTATAATGTGTTTAATAATTAAAAGAATAATATAATGGTTATATATGTGTATATATATAAATGGTGACAAACAGGAATGGATCCATAACTTAATTGCAGGGGTTTGAAAATAATTGGACTTCAATGTATATGTTCTTATTTTTCATAAATATTAAAGATATTTTTAGTTAATTGTTATGAATTTGACACTCAATTAATTTGATTTACTAAAATATTAATAATTATTTATTCCAAAATCAATTCTATTAATTTGACAATTAATTTTAAGATATTAAAAATTTATTCAATGGTACTTTTTTTTTATTAAATGGGGTTTCAAAGCCCAACAACAACACAAAACCTAGAATATAGGTCTAAGATACCAAGATCAAAGAGCATCCAAATGAAGAAAAGGAAGTAAAAAGGGTGGAGCAAACATAGGTCTAAAATATCAAAATCAAAGAGCATTCAAATGAAAAAAAAAGAAGTAAAAAGGGTGGAGCTTCATCAAAACATGAAAAAGGCAACTCACGTTTAACCCAAACTTTAACTAGCCAATCCTTTCTAAAGATAAGACTAAATTTAATTAGATTGATACATTTGACTAAATTTAACTGAGAACAATGGAGATTACAATTAGGAAAAATAATAATTAAATTAATGGTTTTCTTAGAATCATATTCAACTTATATTAAGTGAAACTTTTTTTAAAATAACAAATTTAAGATTCCAAAATATTCCTTTAAGTTTAAGAGTTAGAGGGAGATATATGAGCAATATGCTCACAATCAATTTCAAGTAATAAAGACTTAATTCAAGACCAATCCTAGCTGCCTTGAGGAGAGAATAAAGCCATAGGATCATTCAAATCACCTATTGGGATAAAAACAAGAGCATGACTATCAAGATTCTGATGATTAGGCACCCAACTATCCTTCCATAATCTAATAGTCATTCCATCCCTTAAAATCTAACCTAAACTTGTATAAAAAGATTTCTAAATAGACATCATATTTCTCTAAAACTAAAATTAGTTTTGACTATTACCTGAGCTATGGAGTTTTCCAATAGAAAATTTATATTTCTTGCAGATTATCTAAGTCCAAAGATTATTTGGAAAAGTTAGAAGTTTTCAACACAGTTTCATAAAATAAGCCTAATTAACAAGCCTCAAATCCCTAAAGCCTAGGCTTCCATTATCTTTAGGTTTACAAATTTTCTTCCAACTAATTAAGTGTCATTTCTGGCTCCCTAAAGGCCCCTAAATAAACCTTTTGCAAATAGTATCAATTTCCTTACACACAGACTTAGGAATGAGCATAGATTGCTTAAAGTAATTGGGAATGCTCATAATGCAAGACAGGGCTAGAGTAACTCTACCTACCATGGATAAGAACTTAATCTTCCAATGAAAGTTTTTTCCTGACTTTATCAATTATAAAAGAAATATCTTGCCTAACAGGGCTCAGATAACTAATAGGGATGCCCAAATACTTACCAAAATTAAGAGATTGATTGATTCCTAGACAGAGACTGATACATTGAGAAATCATATGATCACAATTTTTTGAGAAAAGAATAGAAGATTTATCCTTCTTAATTGAAAGGCCAAAGCAAAACAAAATTCACTCATAACAGTGCTAATTACATTAGTGTTCTGCCTATTAGTTTTTGCAACTAAAATTAAGTAATCAGCAAAAAATAGGTGTGAAATTCTAGGTCCTTGGTTACTAAAGGAAAAAGGAATCCAATTTTTATGAGACACTCTATCTTGAATTAAGTGAGTAAGTCTTTCAATGCAAAGGACAAAAATATAAGGAAATATGAGGTCTCCCTGCCTAATACCTCTATTATGATAAAAAAAAAAAATTTGTTCTGTTGGTATTCTAATTAATAGTCATAGAAGAAGAAGAGATGCATTGAGATATAGGCTCAACTATCTCAAGACTAAAACCAATTTTTTGGCAAGTATCCTTAATGAAATTCCATTTGTTTAATTACCATGTAACCACTTCTATTTTTTAGATTATTTAAGGAATGAACAAATTCTTGAAGGATTACAATGTTGTCTATCCCCTACCTTTCCTGAATAAAATTGGTTTGATTAGTTAAAATTAAATGGGATAGAGAACTCTTAATTCTGTTAGCTAAAGTTTAGCTATGATTTTGTAGCTAAAATTATACAAAGAAATAGGCCTAAAGTGTTTTAGATGTTCAAGGTTATTAGTTTTAGGGATGAGGGTAATGTAAGTATTATTCACAACAGCAACATTAGAAAGATTCTTAAGGCGCTCAGACACAAAATTAAAAATAAAGAGAGTTAAGAATTTTCATTGATTCTTAAAGAATAAGACATGAATCCCATTTGGACCAAGGGATTTAAGGTTACCTATACTAAATAAGGAAGCTTTCACTTCTTGTAAGATTAATCCTAAATTTAAAATAGCCTTATCAAAATCCCTAAGCGAGGGAAAGGAGGAAATAGTGAGAAAAGTAGGGCCAATAGGGGAAGGGTCGGAGTACAGAACCTTAAAATAGTTAACAACAAGGATTCTAAGTTGAATGGAATCATACTCTCAGTTATTCATATCATCCCTCAGAGCTTCAATTATATTTTTTTGCCTACAAATTAAAACAACTTATGGAAAAATTTATTATTCATGTCTCCCAGTTTAAGTCAATTGGCTTTATACTAGTAATACCAAAATACTTCTTCATGATTCAGAATAGTTTAGTATTCAACCTATAAGGATTTCATCAACTTAGTTAGAAAGGGATTGTTTCTTAGGGTTAATTTACAAGAGATACCCTTAATCCTATTCAGAAGCCTTCTTTTCCTTTTAAAGATATTGCCAAAAATAATAGAATTCTAGTTAGAAATAATTTTTTAGAAATTAGATACATTATTAGTTCAAGATCTTGAAGTAATCAAAGAATTTTTAACTTGATTAGAGAAATCACTGTGAGACATCCAAGGGGCAAGGAACTTGAAGGGCCTATTGTAAGAATTAAAGCTATTCTTATCTCAAAACTGCAGCCAGAAGCCATCATGGTCAAATTTTAGGAAAGGAAGGTGAATAAAGGAGTTGTTTTAAAATAACATCCTCCAAGAATCATTCACTATAACTCTGTCAATTCTTTCCTTAATTTTCTCATTGTGCCAATTGAAAGGATTTCTTTTAAAAAATCAGCAAATTGTTTGATAAGGCTTTAGTTTGCTGGTCTACCCTTATCTTTCTCCTTTTCATATATGATTGAATAAAAATCTCCAGCTAAACACCAAAATTTATCTACAGAGATGCTAAAATCAGTCAAGAGCTTCCAGTATTTAGCTTTTAGCCTTCTTGAGGGTTAGCATAAATGGATGATAGAACCTAGTCTTAATACTTCATTTTAATACTAAGGTGAGTCATGTACTTATTTTTAATAATTGAACTAACTTTAATTTTATTGGTATTCTAACAATACCAAATACCTTCAGAAAAGCCAACGACATCCATATTGACTAAACCATCTAAATTTATTCTTTTCATCACCTGTCAGCCTTGTGAGAGCTAATCCTAAGTTTAAAAAGTGCAATAAAATCTAGTTTGTGAATTAAAAGTAAGTCCTTTATCAATCTAGGAAAGGTTTTGTTCCTGACGCCTAAGGATGAAAATAAGTCAGGCCGTCTAACAGGGGCCTACGACCCAACCTTTTTAAAACCTAGTCTGACCTAATATATTTTATTAATAGGCTTAATTTATATTTTTTTAAAAAGTTTAATTAATTAAAAAGGACATGCTTGAGCTTAAGAAAAAGTCTATTATTCCTATTAGAATGACTTATTTAAAATTCATAAATTTTATAATAATATAATAAATAATTTTATATAAAAATTATAATATAATAATATAAAAATGCAATTGGCTTTGTCATAAGTTTAATTTAACAAGAAAATCAAAAGTAATAATTGCTGAGCCTAAACAAGTTCAATCTGCCATAGAAACTTATTGTTGTAAAGCTCTAAGGGTAAGTTAGGTATTCTAACCCAAATAGCAATTTTCTTTAAATTATAATTCATAGGTTGAAACAGAGGTCTTCACCTCTGATCTAGGAGATAATAATCTAAAATAAGTCACGACCTCTCAAAGAGGACATGTTTGTAGTTCTTTATATTTTCAAATTTAACATTTTGTTTGTTTGTTTATTTCAAAGATGATAATAAAATTTAAACTTATAATTTGTCACCTAAGATAATGTTTCTAATTGTATTCAACTCCTTTTTTACCTAACTTACATTTCCTAACACATCTTTATTACATACTTTAACAATACATATTTCATGTGTTATGTTTATTTTAGGTCTTCAATTTTATCATATTATTTTTCTTTAATTTTTATTTGGTCTTCTAACTTATTTTTAATCTTAATGTTTTCTTTACTATAAAAATTATAAAATCTATCACTCCACTTAACAAAAGTTCATCTGTATGATATTGACATTGTTAACTAAGTCTAAATGTTTTTTTTCAAGTGACATCATGAATCATGCTACATCGTTGTCTTGCAATCAATATATATATATATATATATATATATATATATATATATATAAATAATAGGAAGGATGTCTTATGATTTA